AGTCTTCCCATTCATCATAAAGCATTCAAGGAAACCAGAAATAAAGAGCACACTCACCATGGTTCAATAGGAATAAAAACCTTGAGTTAGGTAAAATATTTTGGTACTTTTGGTGAAGTACTGCTCTTGTGAATTCCCTTAGCTGTGGCGCGTTCCAGAGCTTCCGCACACCATCATTTTAACTGTATCCTCTTATTTGCCAACACATCGCAGGAGAGTCCCAAGGCTGTTTTAAAGGATTACATTGTTGAAAGACTAAATAGTAAAAGGTATATTTTGATAAGGGTGATGCTAAATGATGTGCTATGAACCAAGTGTATCATAATATATACATTTATAGAAATAAAGTGAACTCTTTTAAATAGTGCTTATCAATATAATCATTTTTATTGCTTATAATCTGTTTACCTATGCTGAAAAGCTTCCCTGATATTTTATTAAATATTACATCTTATTTATTAATTAAAATATTTTGTTAAACTGAAAATTATTTAGTCACTAAACATGATATTTTGCTTTATATTACTATTCCTGGGGAATAGTAGACGTGAGGAAAACTTTAAAGGGCTTTTTGGTGGCTAATTGCTGATATTTTTAGTATTGGGGAGATTTTTTATTTTCAGAGTTAGGATATTTTAAACTTAATTTGCAGTAATACATTGCAATACAAAATCCAAAGACAGCACAATCATAGTCAGTTTTATTATAACTCTACCTATATGGTTTGTAACATATTTCTATTACATGCATCAAAGTTAAGGTGAGATGGTAAATTTCTTCTTGCTTTATAGAGGATGTTTCTTTTGCTTTTCCAGGAACCTGAAACAAAATAAATCATCAAAATTAAATACAAAAATAAAATTTACATCGGGGTGGAATGTAAAAAAGCCCACCAACCCCAAATCTGAGTTCCTTTGTATAATGTTCAGAAATAGTACAAAAGATCAAAAATATTTCATCTTACATGCTTAAAAAAATAGCAGCATGGGTGTTAGCTTCTCAAATGCCCGGAGAAATGACTTCTTTTGCGCTTTGAGGACGCGATTAGTTCTGTTTGGTGTTTTATACAAATGGAGTGAATACTTAGTAGAAACATTTTACTCAATACATCATACCTGTTTATTTCTTCCTCTAAAGTATCTGAATTTTGAGATAGCCTGTCCATTGTGGATTTTCTAGATCCTTCAAGAGAGAAAAAAGATTTATAAATTTAATGGTATACCAGGTGTACCGTTTTCAGTGATTTTGAGCTTGAACCTGAGAATTCCTTCTCAAGTATATCCCCCCTTACACCTGTCCCACCGTGGCAGACTGTATTGTTGGAAGATGACCGCAAAACTAGCTCCGAACACACACATTCCTCTGCAGTGGGTCCTAGGTATTCTCCCATCAAGAAATGGAGTATTATTCCCCTACTTTTGAAATTGGCCTACCTTTATGAATCTCTTTGTTACCGGCAGAACGGGAAGGAGTTAACTGCATGGTTTCTGAGACTAAGAAAAGGCCACTAAACTTCTCCTTGCTTCCTTTCTGAAGCTTGCTTTGGAGAAGCCGGTTGTCAGTATGAAGACGGTTGCCAAGTCCTTGTGAAGTTGTAGCCCACCGCCTGAGCCGAGCCGCCCAGCTATCCCCGCCAATGTTCTCCCTTCCCTAATGTTTTCTCTATTAGGAAAACTTAGCGTGCTGATTTACACAGAGGGGCATTTACGATAATCGGTCAAGTGATCTCTCGATTCAATTACAACTATCTAAGTGAACATCACAAAATTATCGATTCTTGGTTCCACTCTTGCAAAAAGATTCCTTTTGATCTTTGCCTGCACATTGAAATGGGGGTCTGACCAAGTGTGGGGTTGAGATGTTGATCTAGGGCTCTAACGGGACTGGACTCTCTCAAATAAGTGAGTCTAGAAGCAGTAAAACGTGGAGAATGTGGGATTCACTTGTGCAGTCTATTATTTCAGTACAAAGAAGCGCTTCTCTTTGGCTAAGATCTAAGATTCTCAAAGGGCAGGTTCTCTCAAATGGGCAACAAAACCCTCTCATCAGTATTAGCACCAAATGATGAATTGAACAAGCCCAGCACCTCATCCCCTTATGCAAAATCAAGGATATAACATTTTCATAGAATTCAGCATTATATTTAAATGAGATCTTTAAAATCACTACCTGTGACTATGATGACTAAAAAGGTGGAGGAAGTTTTATAATTTTGACGTGCAAAACATTTTTAGTGACCTTATTCTAGAAAAAGGTAAACAGTAAGTCATGCATAAAGGTTGTGTCAGAGTTTATAGGCTAGACCCCTGGAAATGGATTCAACCTTTCCACAACAAATCAAAAGTATTGTATGCTCACATGAATATACAGTAGTCATTACCTTAAATTTAAAACTCCCTGTAAGCAGCCAACACACAGAGCTGGATATGAAGGCTGTATTGTATCAGTGTGGTCTGCAGAGAATTTCTTCATATGGTTTTTGCCTTGTTGAAATATATGTTACAGTTCAAAGCTAAAAAGATTACTTTTGAATAGTCATCACAAGGGTTGATTACATTCGTATATCATATTTAGCTGGACCCTGCAGGCTATTATTCCATTAGCTTGCTGGCCCTGCCATTGTCAAAAAGCTGATCACCTAACGTTAGAAGACCGTGCTTTCGGTTGACCTTATCAAAATGACTTAAAAGCTTTTGTTAAAAAACAAAAAACAAACTTAGATTGTGTTTTATGAAATTGATTAAGAATAAATGCTGTGCATAGAAAATGCTTGTATCTTCTGAATCTTAGCATTAGGCCATTATTCAGGGCAAGATTGTATTTTGCTTTTTAGTGTTTCAGCATGCTTTACTTAAAGTCATAGATCCAATTTTATCAGAACAATACTTCTCTCTTATTCATAGTAAAGAATCTCAAAAACTCATTCCTGAAACAACAAAAACAAAACAAAGAACAGACTTTCCCCCTCCATGTATTTAAATAAATCTTGTAAAATTGTCACCATGTAAGACCCGTAAATCAATGTTAATATAATAGCACATCTACAATCGCCTACTGACAATGTGGGCTCTTAAGGCAACCATGCTAATGAGAACACGGAACTTTCTTTTGAGGAAATATGTAATTAAATGTAATTTTATCCTTCATAGTTGATAATTAGAAAAATCACTTTCAATAAGTGAGTGAGTGAATAAATATTTACTATTTCTTCTCTGGACAATGGTTGTGCAGCCTCATTCAATCACAACAGTAGAAGAATGCTAAAGAATTGAGTTAAAAATATTTTTATAAATCCTGAATCCACTATCATTGTAAGGCATATTTAGATAAGTTTTGATTTCATTTTATTGTATTATTATTTAATAACTAACCAAATGAAAATATATCTTTGATGAAGCTATTTAGCGGTATGGCTTAATTATTTAAAATCGTTTATTTAAAAATTGTATTAGAATTAAATTATAAAGGCTGTCCTTTGGGAATAAAGACTACATTGAATCACTCAATCAACCAGCCAGTTTGAATCATTTTCCCAGAAGTGGTGAGGGATTGGCATAGACTCCTTGTATTCTTGGGAATGGAAGCTCTTATAACTGATGGTGTATAAAATCGCTGGTCAGAGATATGGGCTGCGAGCCTGGAACACATCCCGATTCATTAACATGGCTCTCTAATGAACCAAACTTTTCAGCAAGTGGATGATTCTTATTATTTCGTGTACTTGCTTCCCATTATCCATCCCACTTGATAACTCACAATACCCAAATCATCTGCATCAAGAGGAAACAGATGGTATGTCAAGTTGGTATTCTGAAATGACTTTAATGAAGGAGTTGTTTATTGAAAGATGAGAGCAGCAATAAGGACCCAATTAGGGAAACTAAAGCATCCAGGCACTCCAAATAGAGGATGGTGTTCAATTCACATCCCTAGGCCCGAAGAGTAAAGGAAGAGAATGGGGTAGACGAGGGAGCGAGAGAAAAGGGACCTTCCAATGGGGTCTAGAAGCTGCAGTTTGAGCTGTGAGGAGGGGTTGGCAGGGGAGTCTACCGTGCTATCTCCCTTTTTCTAACCTTTTCTATCCTTGATCTCCCTTTGGCTACACCTACCCAGAAACCAGAGGGTGAGTGAGACTGTCTGATACAGTTCAAAGGCAGTCTCTCTTGGGGCACAGAGAAGATAAAAGAGTGAATCTTGGAAAGGGATGTGTAGCAAAATTAAGGTAATTGTCCCAGAGTGCAAACATCATCGTTTAGTAAAAATTCAGCCTTATGAAGACTGGTTTAAGTGCCCATGTACTTGATATTAACTTATGGTTTGAATATGCCTTTCTTTTTTCTTTATATCCCCTTTCTTTTAAAAAAACTTTGGGAATATCCTGTAATATTTGTATATACAAGTGTTTTGTAACATTTGTGATTTTTTGGTGATGTTGGCTTTTCACAGGTTTGCAAGAAAAATTATCATCATTGGAGAACCATCATTGAGAGTATACAGTTAACTTTCCCATCTCATTTCAGTTTTCTTGGTGGTATTTTCCTTTGTTATTAAAAATCAAACGACGAGTCCATTCTACCTGCTCTTTGAAGTAGAAACAAGGACATGCTGACTCTATACAGGTAAATATGCTAATCAAGATGCAGGTAAACTCTTTAGGTAGGAGGCATCTTTCAGATTTGGGTTGAAGACAGATGTCTGGTTTTTTAGATGATAGATTCTGACATAAACTCCCCTTTCAAGAAATATTTTCTTAATGTTTGAAGCCTATTGAAGCTTATGTGAGGACCAGACATAGATTTTAACTCAAAATTATTGATTCTCCCCCCTCCCCCTAAGCACCATGTAACTAGATCTGGATGAAATATTGAAGATACCATATTGACACTATACTGGATTTCTTCTGAGTGTCTACAGTTTGAATGAGAGTCCCAGATTTAAGATATTAATCTGTTCATATACTTTGTTAAGTATAGCACGGATAGCCTCCGTTCCCTTTTATTTGTCCCACCATTGGTGCATTACAAATGCTGTCTTCTTTCTGAGCACAGATGGATTTACAAAGACCCCATATCCTCATGCCTGAAATAAACAAACTTATCCACTCAAACACAAAACTGAATAAAAGATATGGAAATGGTTTTTAAGATACTGGACATTAGACTATAATGGCTGTGATTCTTGGGAGAAAGGAGAAGAAAAAGCATATGGGGATCTATGATTAGCTTTGCTTGTTTCCTTGAGTGAGTCGCAGTTGGCCAATACAGTTGAAGTTAGCAACCGGAATGCCAGAGAGGACAGAGATGCACAGAGCGAGAACTCGAGAGGATCTATAAAGTGTTACCCTCGACGATTCTAGAGAATATGGATCAGAGCACTTGTGGGAAGCAACTGTCAGAGGCTAGGGGAAGAACCACTCAAAACTATGAGAGTTAGATAACATGTGGTATTGCCATAGGGCTAGGGGTAGTGCCTGTTCTCATCTGCCACATTGAAAAACATCGTAATTCATGAGACATTGAGTAGATGACGTGCTCAGTTTGGAAAGAAATTATATCTATGCTCAGCCTGGTTCTGGTTCTGACTAAAAAGATCTAAAAAGTAAGACTGAAAGGATTAAACTGATTTTCATCTCAGAACAAAATGTGAGACTATTTATGAGAATGGAAAACTATATCGTATCCATAATTAAAATTTACAGTGCTTGTCAACTAGAAAAAAAAACTATAAGATATATGAAGAAGGAAGGGGGTTGGGAGGATAAAAAGGAAAAGGAGGAAGAAGAAGAGGAGAAAATATACCCATAATGAAAAAAAATAAAACCAAAGCTGACTCAGATAGACAGAGTAGCCAAAATTAAGAACAAAGACATTAAAACAATTGTTCTTGTTGGGTACCAGTTAGTCAGTTCTGACTCATTGTGACTGTCTGCACAACACAACAAAACACAGCCTGGTCCTGAACCATCCTTGTAATTTTCCTATGTTTGAGCCCATTGCTGTAACTACTGTCAATCCATGTTGTCAAGGGTCTTCCTCTTTTTCACCATCCCTATACTTTACCAAATGGAGATATAGGAGATCCAAATCAAAATTCCAGAGGTTAAAACTACAATGTCTGATATATATGCACATTGTATAGAATTAATAGAAGTAGGACATGCCAGTGAACTTGAGAATCAAACT